TCACAAGCAGATAATACAGTAAATTAACGACAGGGTTAAAAGCATTTGGGGTACTACACAGCTTGAGGGCAAAAAATAATAAATGTCTATTTTGAATTTTGAGCAAAGCTACCAAAGGGTTATCTGCACTAGCCATTCCTAATTTAGCAGTGGACTACAGGGAGGACAGCTAGTCAACACCCCCCCCCCAAACTCTTGGGCTACCCTTTTACCAAAGAATAGTGGCGAATGACTGTCACATTATAATGCCCTCACGGCTGAAAGGACGAGCATGTTTGGTGGTGGGGATTTGAACGCACGACCCACAAGTTGCAGGTCGACCACCAGGCCATGCCCAGTCGACCACCCTAACCACCAGGTCATGCCAAGTCGACCACCCTAACCGCCAGGCCATGCCCAGTCGACCACCCTAACCGCCAGGCCATGCCAAGTCGACCACCCTAACCGCCAGGCCATGCCAAGTCGACCACCCTAACCACCAGGCCATGCCAAGTCGACCACCCTAACCACCAGGCCATGCCAAGTCGACCACCCTAACCACCAGGCCATGCCAAGTTGACCACCCTAACCACCAGGCCATGCCAGGCTTTTAAAAAGGGGAAAGTTTGTTACTTACAAAGAAGAATTTCTATGATGGTTAAAAGATCTAAGTATCCATTTACTCAAGCTGTAAATTTAGGTATTGACATTTTATGATAATAATATACACACAAGTATTAGAAAAATAATTAAATCAACAGCATATTCTAACATTTTTCTTACCTCAACAGAATTCTGTGCATATATACCAATACAAGTCGAGGGACCAGGCTTTACACCAAAATGTACAAGTCCTGAAGCAAGCCTTCTACATCTCTGTATTGCCTAAAATAAACCAAAATAGTTAGGCTTATTTTGTATTGACATAACCAACAATTGACATTTAAACCATGTGACATTACAATCCTCTTTAAAAACATTATGATGTTTTATCAATTACAATTTTCCCTTCTAGAAGAACAGACAATCACTTTCTAGCTGTTTCATCAAGTAAATTAACATCTCATAAATAAATAAAAAAAGAGGAAAACATTATGTAAGTAATAAATAACCTCTAATTATAGACCCAATATTACCTGCATTTAATTCTATGGAAGTGACACAAAAATAATACAAATATTTCCTTCACACACCTTTTTAGGTTGCTCATTTTTTTCCTTTCTAGTTAATTTCAAGTTCAGTAGTTAGAAATTAAAGTTAAAATTTAACACAAAAAAAGTGCAAAGTATTGCTGTGGATAATTTAAACGGGATTTTTTGCTAATAATACCAGTAAATTTGGTTTGAAAATTAATATAAAAATTATGTCAAAAAACACTGAAGTTTACATCACTTCTCATTAATTTGAAGAAAAAACATCCACCTGTCAAGCTTTCAGATCTTCATTTGAAATGTCTTGTGTTCACAAAAATCTGTGATGTAGAGGCTTAATGCATTCTTTGATTCGCCTTACCCTGAGCTACGGACTGCAGTTTCACCCATTTAAGACGCATCAGCACAAGTTGGGTCAGCAAATCAAAGAGATATCATTAGGCCTATTATAATGGTGAAGAGTATATAATATCTATGGGGTTTGAGTATGTTTTACTTCACCATATAATATCCTAGATTCATTTAGCTATGTAAATATTGCTATGATATTTCATCAAATTCATTATTTGATATATTATTATTATTTGATGTATAATATCAACTAATGAATTTGACAAAATGTCATAACATTATTCACATACCTAAATTAATTTTGGTTAATATATGGTGAAGAATAACACACTCAAAAATCCATAGATATCATAAAAAAAATTCCCCAATCTGTCTTTTTTCTAAACTTTCCACTGAACTCCAATGTTATTCTCTGTACAAGTTAAACTTAATCACTTTCTCCTTAAATTACTTCACACACCCCTCTATGCAGTTTATATTAACCTAAATAGTTTACAATCTGCTTAATCCACTAGTATTTACACACTGCCTTTAGCTCTTTTACTTCACACACCCCTCTATGCAGTTTATATTAACCTAAATAGTTTACAATCTGCTTAATCCACTAGTATTTACACACTGCCTTTAGCTCTTTTACTTCACACACCCCTCTATGCAGTTTATATTAACCTAAATAGTTTACAATCTGCTTAATCCACTAGTATTTAAACACTGCCTTTAGCTCTTTTACTTCACACACCCCTCTATGCAGCTTATATTAACCTAAATAGTTTACAATCTGCTTAATCCACTAGTATTTAAACAC